TATATATATATATATATATATATATTCAGTTGAAATCAGTAAAATCATTTTATTAAACAAATGGATTTCTCAAGTCCAGTAGCTGTTATAACTCTTTCCAGTACTGATGGGTATTTCCTTTCTAGCCTTTTGTCTGAAGTAGTGTGGAACTTCATCTTATGCCATTATTTTCTCTTAGTTACATGTGCTGTGTGTGTATAATATATATATATATATATATATATATATAAAACAAAGATTGTATTTAAACAAAATCAGTTGTTCAGGGTACTCATTTTAAAGAAAATGATTTCTGAATATAAATCCAATTTCACAATAGTCTCCTGAAGAGCGGATATAATTTCACATAACTCAAAGTAGAGACACGATAATTGAACTTCTAATTTTATTTATTTCCTATAACATATATAATAAGGGCTTTTTGGTCATGTCCAGATAACTTTTCAGTTTTTTAGCACTCCTTCACATAAAAGCTGAACTTGGAGAAAGGGTATTCTTGTTAGCTACATACTTGGTATTACAAAAAGAACTGTTTTCTCAGATAAAAATAGCCTGTTTGGTATACGTCATGCTAGTAGACTGGAAGAATTAATTGATAAATGGTAAAGGCAAGACCATTAAATCAATTTCTGTTTTTCCCACTCATTCAGGCCAGTTTTTTCTTTTTATCCAATTCTCTGAGCATTTTACACAATATTTCAAGCAAGGACATTAAACAGAAAGAAACAAGTTTTTAAAACTAGTAATTAAAAATACAAGAACCTAACCTATATTACTTATATTGACTGAAGTTTATATAAAATGTATTATATAAGTTTTGTGTGTTATTTAAAAATGGTTTTTTATGTTCTCTGCATACAAATTTTAATTTTCTCTCTCAAACTTCCTTGTCTTTTGATATTTAAAAAGCTTAGTACTGTAATAAAATTAAAATGTCTATGTAATGACCAATGATTTAGTGCTACTTTTCCTAAAGTGGGGTTTGTAGAAGTTTGGGTGGGGGTGTCACAATTGCAATTGAGAAATGTTTTAGCAATTATATAGGTTTCTTTCATTCTTCTTTTAAGATTTTTTGTATATTTTTTTTAACTCAATATTTTTTTTGTATATATTAACATAGTTATTGCTTGGATTTGATTTTTTTTTTTTGTTTGACATTTCTTCTTCCTTAGCATGCTTTGATGGAAAACAAAATGATGCATGTTCAATTTTTGTTGGAGGCACAATGTTTTTAGTAAGACTTTTCAATCTGGGTCAGTTGTTAATTTCATTGTTTAATAAAATAAAATAAAAATACAGGGGTAACAATTCCAACATATGTCCCCACTAAAAATGTTTATAGTTATGAGAAATTACACACACACACACACACACACATATGTGAGGTGGTGTAATGATTAGCAAGCTTGTCTTGCTAGAATAATTGCAACTGAGTAGTGAATTTGATCTTCACTAGGTGCCTTCTACTTTTGGCCTTGTGCCACATCTAAGCTACGCTTGGAAAATAACTATTTGGGAATCTTTGGCATGGTGTAATGGTTAACAAGCTTCTCTCACTCAAAACAGTTATGTCTGAATAATGAGTTCGATGCTCACTGGGTGCTCCATACTTTCAGCCTTGTGCTATGTCTAAGCTATGCTTAGAAAATCATTTTGGACACCTCAGCGTGGTCTAATGGTTAGCAAACTTGTCTTGCTAGATCAGTTACTACGGTGTAGTGAGTTTGATCCTCACTGGGTGCCCCAAACTTTCTACCTTGTGCCACTTCTAAGCTATGCTTTGAAAATCTGTGTGTGTTTATCTCTGGTTGAGGAATCGGAGCCGAGTTTAAATTCCAGTTAAATCCATTGCATTCACTTATGTGCTTGGGGAAGGTATGAATTCTCTGCCCAGCTAATAGCAGGACAGACTGGATTTTATAGCTTTGGATGGTAACTGGCCAAGAAGGACAACTCTGAATTCAAAACTTGCACAGGGTTGTTTGGGGGACCTTGTGGCATGTTGTCCACCAGTTCTCTCTATTTGTCTCTTGTAAAAAGTATGATGTGTTCTACACAAGCCTTCACCACTAGAACCAAATGATATATATGGGCAGTCTGGCTGTTGGTTTCTAGGAACTGAGTTGCTTGATCCTCATACGTTGAAAAATGACAAAAGTCCAGTGTGTGTATATATATATATATATATATATATATATATATATATATATATATGGTGAGGCACAAAAAGAGACAAAATAAAACAAAACAAAATAATTACAGTTTCTACAAATGTAGGAATTTTTACGAGATTTTATCAGAAGTTTTACGGTCCAAAAGCATTTTTCAAATTAATGAATGTTTAATTATTGTGATCATTAATTGCTGACATGTTTGATTCAAGTGCCTCACTGCTGGATGATGTTTGCCACTCTGACACTGAAATTGTTCACGACTCTCTCCAAAATGTCATTTGGAATTCTCCCGATTTCTCTCTTGATGTTTTCTTTCAGCCTCTCAGTTGTGTCTGGGTTGCCCTCATACACTCTCTCATTCAGGTAGCACCAGAGAAAGTAGTCCAGCAGGCTCAGATCAGGAGAGTAGGGCGGCCATGGATTGTCGCTCCTCCTCAAGATTAATCAGTCGCCTGGAAAGTATTACCCAAGATATTGAGGAGTGTGGTCAGAATAGGTGGTGCACCATCCTCTGTTGAAACAACTTTGTTCATGTCAAAAACCCCTTCACCTCCTTAATGCTAGAATGAAGTGTCTCCGAAGCATTTCAATGTATTGGTGTGCATTCATTGTCCATCATCAAAAAAGTCTGGGCCAAAAATACCATCCTTTCCAAGTGCACACCATAGCATCATTTTTTTTCTACGCTCAGAGGTTTTTCAACATGTTCATAAAGTTGTTCACTGGCCCAAAAGCTGAAGTTTTGCTTATTCATGTGCCCACTCAAATGGAAGTGCACCTCGTCTCTGAAGCGAAGACAGTCCAAAAGTTGAGGATTGTTCTCAATGCACTTACTTATCATCTGGCCAAACTCGTAGCGTTCAGTCTTGTTGGTTTGAGTTTGTGCTTGAAGAAACTGCACTTTGTAAGAAAACAGTTTCAAATCACTGTGGATAAATCGGTGCACAGATCTCCTAGAAATACCCACTTGCTGTGATAGCTGTCTGGTGGATTTGCAAGGCAACTGTCCCAACTGGTCCCTGACGTCTTGAACATGAGCTGGCATCCTCACTGTGAACTTTGAGCCACAATGGCCTTTGTTATTAGTTTATTACATTTCCATTGTTTCTAAACTTTTCTCCCAAATCTGTGATCATATAGCGATGGGGAATTTTCCTTCCATGATATCTGCATCAAAATTGCCTTTTAACGAGTGTAGATGACTTTGTTGCAAAATACAGTTCCACGATCTTTGTCCTCTCTTCAACCAAAAACTGCTTGTAGTAGTAGTCCATTTTAGTATCATATTAAACTAACAGGTATGCTATGCAACTCACTTAAAAAAGAAAAAGAAACAGTTATGTCTTTAGAAAATATGAGCCTTTACTTTTGTCTCGCATATTTGTACCCAACCATATATATATATATATATATAATCCTCACACTTGCTCCATATGTGGCCTCCTTTGTAAATCACTAGTGGGTCTTAAATGTCACTTAAGATTATCGCACAAACTTTCATAACTGAATCAATAAGCTGTCAGATCTTCATACGTCAAAACCGATGGGAGCGAGTCCATTTTTTATATATATATATATATATATATATATATATATATATATATAATTTCAATAAAAACTACAGACAAGGTACAGCAATTAAGCTTTTTATTTAATTTTTCTTGTGTTCAAATAAGTGTTTTCTTTTCTGGATACAGTAAAACCTGTCCAAATGTTCTGTAATTCCAAGTGCTTTTGGTTATACTTTTAGCCATTATCAAGGATGATTTTATTCTTGCTTTTTAACTGGATGTATGGGTTGTGTGTATGTTTCTAGAGTTAATAGGGATGCTTTATTTTCTGAACACAGTCAGCACATTTAGTTAATATTATTGAGTGTTGGCTTTTTCTTTTTATTATTAAGGCTCCCATTATTTTTAATCTTTTTACAAGTGGATGAGGTTATTATACTTGTATTTTCTACGAGTATGTTTCAGATGGAGTCTGGTAAGTTTGTGTGTGTGTTTAAATGGGTTTTGATGGAGTTGTGGTTGGATAGGTGAAACGTAAGGCATCTGGATAAACATCTAGTAATGTGACCAATGTAATTATAAGTTTGGTTAGATCATGAACTCAGTTCCTTAAGGGGCATTTGAACTCCTAAATAATGATCAGAAAAGAAGACACTTGTTTGAACACAAGATAAATAAAAGGCTTAATCACAGTACCTTGTCTGTTGTCTTTAGTGAAACATGTATAAATGAAGGATTGCTGCCTAAATACACACACACACACATATATATATATATATATATAAACATTGATTTTTGCATTTGATTTTTTTTTTTTTTTAAATTATTTTAACTTAGTTTTTGCTGATTAACTTAATTACTTTTGTGGAAAGTAAACAAATTACACATTTATTTTGGAGTATACCTGAATAATTTCCTCTTATTCTAATCTCCACACCCCCCTCACACTTTTTGTGACTGAAAAATAAAACTACACAATTTAATTTTCTTGAAGCAAAAAATATGTAGTGTTTATAAAGACTTTACTTAAAATAAAACAATTTCCAAAAATGGCATTTCCTCCAAAGAGCACTTTTCCAACATAGATTTTTACACATCCATTCTTTCATAGTGAAAATCACCAATCATTTATTTTACCAGAAATGTACTTCAGGCAGAGAAGAACCTAAATTTCAATTTACCAAAAGAGGGTAGTGGGGGGTGTCATAGATCAAAAAAATTTGGTAAGGCCTAATTTATTGAAAGATTGTGGATAGATTTGAAGATGGCAGGGGCTTCAGTTGAGTACCTTTATTCAGATATAGAATGGTGAACAATGGATGAAGTGTTTTCTTCAATCAAAGAACCCCTTTCATCTAACAATCTCCAACTGTCCAGAAAGGCGGGAATGTTTTAACATTCTCTCTGTCCTAAGTCAGTCTTATTTCTATTTCACTGTCTACTATTTACATTTGCATATTCAAAAATCAAAACTTTTTCTTTTATTTATTTTTTTTTTTTTTTTTCCCAAGTTTGTTAAAATATTTTCAGTAAAAATCTAGCTTTCAACTGTGTATTGAGTTTCTAGTTTTCAAATAAGAATTCTAGGAATTTCACATGGTCAGATGATGGCAAACCATAATCTAGTCATGTGTGAAACTGATATATCTTTTTGAAGCTACTACTGATTTATAGTCAAGCTACATTACTGAAGATGTTACTGTGTAGTAAAAATGCCAGACATTTAAATGTAGGAAAGTTCTGTTACACCAATTTTCCAAAAGGAAAGGGTGTCTTCCTAGAAAATTTGCATTTAAAATCATGGCCTCTGCCTGGGCTTGAACGCTAATTGTGAGCTCAGTGTGGGAAATACTCAATTATTTCAGTTACACGAAAGTCACTCTCTCTCTCTCTCTCTACTCTCTCCTCTCTCTCTCTCTCTACTCTCTCTCTCTCTCTCTCTCTCTCTCTTCTCTCTCTCCTCCTCTCTCTCTCCCTCTCTCTCTCTCTCTCTCCTCTTCTCTCTCTCTCCCTCTCTTCTCTCTCTCTCTCTTTCTCTTCTCCTCTCCTCTCTCTCTCTCTCTCTCTCCTCTCTCTCTCTCCCTCTCTCTCTCTCTCTCTTCTCTCCTCTCCTCTCTCTCTCTCTCTCCTCTCCTCTCTCTCTCCTCTCTCTCCTTCAGTAAAATCCCTATAATCCTCTTTCTGTGATAAGCACATTCATTCTAAATAAGATTGATTGAACTGACAATCTTTCTTGCGAATGCTGATGACCTATGTTGATAGATTTGTTTTAATACTTTGTATAAATATATTGCCTTTCAACTGCTGGTGTACACCTGTTCAAGATGTGTACTCCATATCTCTGGTTTGCAGCTGAGGTGTGTTTGGTTCATCTCGATCAGTACTTCCTAGGATGCATTTTGTTTATTATTTCTTATGCTTCCAAAAACATTTCTTGCCAAAACCTGATGCAGATAAGAGGCAGATAATGTTTGTACAGATTGACTGACAATGAAAATATATCCAACCACAAATTGTCATTTGTCTGCTGATTAACACTTAAACCTTTGCAGCTACATGTCCACAATTTCACCCAATTGAGCACTTTCTTCTTTCTCTCTCCCACTTACTCATCTCTCCTCCCCTTCCTTCCCCTTCCTTTTTTTCCTTCCCCTTCCTTTTTTTCCTTCCCCTTCCTTTTTTTCCTTCCCCTTCCTTTTTTTTCCTTCCCTTCCTTTTTTTCTTCCCCTTTTTTTTTTTTTTCCTCTCTCAGCCTTTCCTTTTTTTCTCCCCTCCCTCAGCCTTTCCTTTTTTTTCCCCCCTCCTCTCAGCCTTTCCTTTTTTTCCTCTCCCCTCCTCTCAGCCTTTCCTTTTTCTCTCCCCTCCCTCTCAGCCTTTCCTTTTTTTTTTTCCTCTCCCCCTCCTCTCAGCCTTTCCTTTTTTTTTTCTCCCCTCCTCTCTCAGCCTTTCCTTTTTTTTCCTCCCCCTCCTCTCAGCCTTTCCTTTTTTTCCTCTCCCCCTCCTCTCAGCCTTTCCTTTTTTTTCCTCTCCCCCTCCTCTCAGCCTTTCCTTTTTTTTTCCCCCCCTCCTCTCAGCCTTTCCTTTTTTTTCTCCCCCCTCCTCTCAGCCTTTCCTTTTTTCCTCAGCCCTTTCCCTTTCCTTCTTTTTTTCCCCCCCCCTCCATCCCCTGAGTCTTTCCCTCCTCAACCTTTCTCCAGTTTCCTTCTTATTGGAAGTATATCTACCCCGCCTGGATAAACCTGAAACTCTGCATCTAAATCATTATTTTTCTAACTTTAAAAGAAAGCTTTGTCAACAGTGAAAGCAAATTTGCCTAACTTTGAGGTGAAAGTTCATTTTTAAACACTGGTTTATTTGGACTTCATCTTGGTTTGCATCACCAGCCTTCTTCAGGTGTCTGTATTCATTAACATAGTAAGAATTTCAACTTGAACTCTTTATTTGGTTTACATGGTGGAGGGTTTTTTATTCCACTGTCCTTGCTAAAGAGCACATGTCAGAGTGCATCTCATCAGATGACACTTCATTCATTCTTCCACTCAAGCTGGAGGACATCTCAGATCAGAAGTTGCTTTATTCTGCCACTCATGCATCTCATCTCAGAGGATTTGTCATCCTGACACCCATGCTGGAGGTCATTTCATATTGGATGCCTAATTCCGTTACCCATGCTGGAGGTCATTTCATATTGGATGCCTAATTCCGTTACCCATGCTGGAGGTCATTTCATATTGGATGCCTCATTCCGTTACCCATGCTGGAGGTCATTTCATATTGGATGCCTAATTCCGTTACCCATGCTGGAGGTCATTTCATATTGGATGCCTAATTTAGTTACCCATGCTGGAGGTCATTTCATATTGGATTCCGTTACCTGCTGGAATTTCATATTGGATGCCTAATTCCCCCATGCTGGAGGTCATTTCATATTGGATGCCTAATTCCGTTACCCATGCTGGAGGTCATTTCATATTGGATGCCTAATTCCGTTACCCATGCTGGAGGTCATTTCATATTGGATGCCTAATTCCGTTACCCATGCTGGAGGTCATTTCATATTGGATGCCTAATTCCGTTACCCATGCTGGAGGTCATTTCATATTGGATGCCTCATTCTGCTGCCCATGCTGGAGAGCATCTTTATTGGAGGATGCCTAATTCTGCTGCTGCTCATACTGGAGGAAATCATATCAGGATGCCTCATTTCACCACCCATGCTGGAGGTATATCATATTAATCCTTCTTCATTAATTTGTTCTTTTGATGGTTCTTCTATGTCTTTCATTGAAACAATATATGAATTTCACTACCTGACCCAGAGACTGAACTCACCACAAAATGACTGCATACACCTAATCCACACTTAGATCCACTAAGGTATTGTCAAATAAATCAGGGTCTATTAAAAGCAAATCTTTGGTAGTATATGACTCTTTTGGATGTTGATGTGTTATTTCTTTCAGTATGGACTTTGCTTTATTTTTTGTTCATAAATTTGATCTATATTAACTTTTAGCACTAAAGGTGATTTCCTTTGTCAAGCAAAAAGTGTATCCTGCCAATGCAAGTGACACTGAGTGTTGAATAACCCTGTATTTGATTTTTTTTTTCAGTTGTGTTGTCATGTCCTACTAGGGTAACATTAAAAAATGACCTTGGCTGAAATTGATAATAAATCTAGTGCAGTTGAGAGAACTTGAAAAAGAATGAAGTGGATCTGTAAATAATGCAGAGTGCTAAAAGTTAATGCAGTCTCTCTCATAGTGTGTCTATGTATGTGTGCATGTATTATCTGCTAAATCCACATACTTCTAAAATCATTCCTATTTGGCCAAACTGAAATGTTCTCTATTCAAATGTCACTGTTTAGAATCTAATCTGTCAATTGCTTTCCTTCTAAGCATCGTTGGCATTCCTACTTGCTTCGAGATTCCTTTTTACATATTCTTGGCATTCCTTTATATTAACACTTACTTTTTCTTTTTCAACTTCAGTTTTTTATATATATATATATATATATTTGTTTATTATATTCATTTAGCTACTAAGCCTTTCCTAGTGCAGAACTTATGTTTTTGTTTTTTTGGGTTTTTTCCTCTTCTCTCTCTGAGTTCTTAACGTAAAAAAAAAATCTTGTTTCTTTATTATTAACTCTATCATCCTCCTCTTTTCATCTGACTTGGAGTGAGAACAGAATGTATTGTATAGCAATAAGCTGACCTGTAAAGAACGTTGACTTTAACCAGACGTTCTGTTCAACATTTAAAAGTTATGTGCTTACCTTCTTGACATTTCGACTCTTTGAGAATTATCAGATTCCCTTATATTTTTGTTGGCATTTGCCTCTTTCAGTTGTGCCTGTAAATTTATATCATTTTTTTTTTTTTTATGCTTTGCCATATTATCTTTTTCTTTCCTAAATATTTTTTTTATTCTTGTTTTATGAACTCCGTACATTTTATCATAATTATTCAATCAATTATATTAAAGGAAGTTTTAGGAAAGCTTTTTGTTCTAGGAAATTTTTTTTTTTTATTGGTATCACCCCATGCAAGGCAGTAAAGCCACTAAGACACAAGGGTTTACAGGCTATGGAAGAATTAGGAACAGAAACATTAATGAGTGAAGAGAAAAGAGTAATCAGGAGGACTATAGATAGCAATTGACATTGCATTTAAATTTTTGCAGATTAAAGTTAGCTGGAAAGCATGGAGCCAGAAAGGAGTTCCACAAGCAAGAAGTGTGAGAAAAGAAACTGTTAGCATAGAAATTATAGCTACATCAAACCAGCTCAACGGTAAATTAAGTAGTCTAGTACTGTGCTTAAATTCAAAAACAATTATCATGAAAGAATTTATAGAAAAGGCAGAATCTTTTTTTTATCATTTCACCCCAAGCAAGGCAATAAAGCCACTAAGACACAAGGTGTTACTATGTGTGAGAGAATATGAAAATAAATGCTTTTTAAGGAGAACAGAAATTAAAAACACGGTAGATAACTGACATTGCATTTTTTTATTTTTTTTTTTTTTTTTAAGATCAGCATTGACCAGGAAGCAAGAAGTTGGAAGATAGTTCCACAAGCAAGAAGTGTGATAGAAGAAACTGTTAGCATAAAACTTATGGTTACATCTAGCCATTTCAACTGTAAAATGAGACATCTTGCTGCCAATCTAGTATTTGCACTTAAATTCATAAAGTTTAGGTACCATAGTGGAAAGTAATATTTATTTTGAAAAATACAAAAATGTGGCACAAGGCCAAAAGGATGGATAGGGGAAGGCTGGTCTTCACTTTATCTTAAACTTAGTTAATCATGATTACTGACCCAAACATACCACAACATTCTTTACACCAATATTACTGCAATCACCATAATACCTCAAAGTCTCTATATAGTCCTAATTAGTTCTCATATATACAGTTTGTCTGCGCGTGATATAAATATAACTTTTAAAAATGGAAACTCAATGAATATTTACAATGAATACAATACCATAGATGAAAGTTCATCAGAACGATTACCATGAAAGTATTTATAGAAAAGGCACAGGGAATCTACAATATGGTGATTGGAAAGTGGCTGAAGGTGAAAATTGCAAATTCTTCTTTGGATTTTATCAAGGATCTTTAAATATATAGCAGGAACACCAGACCAGATGTAATGGCAATATTCAAAGCCAGGACAAATAGTAGACTTATAAATATGTAAGATAGATTCTGCCAAGAAAAATGAGTAAATCTTCATCATTTTTACTCTTTATCAATGTATGAAATATAGGAGGGGGTGCTGGAAAGTTCTCAATCTGACCCGAGAAGCTTTTAAAAAAAAAACAAACAAATGATACTTGGTCAGCTTTTGGGAAGTGGATTGAGCCAAGAATTTTTCAGCGCCTCCTTGTAATTGAAGTCCTGCTGGTTGTTTTCAGTTGATGAGTATAAAGATGGTAATTGTTTTCTTTTGGTACTTCTTTTTTTTTTCTAATTCCAAGATGGGTACTTCCTTTCCAAAATCTTTCTCATTCTTGATAATAAAATAGACATGGCAATTTGCCCAGTTCTGCTTTTAACATTCTCTGATAGATTACAACTATTCTGCAGCCCCCCCCACAAGATATCATTCTTTAACAAACGATAACATTTAATATTAACAATGACACTTTTATCTTCCATATAACATCAGTACTGATTTGCAACATTTAAAGCTTTTTCTTTTATGATCTATTTTTTTATGTTTTTTTATATATATATATATATATATATATATATATATATATATAAAGGAAACACTGAGGAATGTTTGTCTGTTCTATAAGTAATAATATACCCTCCTTTCTCAACTGGCACCATCACTTTAAGATTTGGATATCAAGGCTGTAGTTCTTTGGTATGCCAGAAGATGGCAGTGCCCAACATTGGCTTGGAATTATCATTACTGTCAAATGACGGTTGAGTTAATTCCCCTTGGCAAAATGGCATTTTGGAAAAGGTAGATCTACCCAGGTGGCACTGCTCAGTTATTTACTTGGGAATAGTTATAAAATTATTGGGCAATCATTGAGCTAGCTCATACATATGTGTGTGTGCGCACACACACATGCGTATGTATGCATCCATCCAACAATGAAATCCCCACCCCCTTTGATTGAAATTAAATTTAATTTTGAACAAGAGAATGACTCCTATCCAAAATATAGGAGAAAGCCAGAAGATGGAGGTCACATTGGCAAAATCATTAAGTAATATTGAAATGCATCATTTTTCTCCATAAATTATAACAATGATTTAAAATTAATCTTCATTTTCTTACAACAAAAAAAATGTGTGATACTGAGCAAGGTGTGGGTAAAGTGCTTTGTGTGTGTATTTAGGCAGCAATCCTTCTTTCATGCACATTTCATTGAATACGATAGACAAGGTGCTTTGATTAAATTAGACTAAATCAAAAGCACCTTGTCTGTCGTATTCAATGAAATATATATTGGAGTGAATGGAAGTTCTGATATCTCTATATATATATATATGCCATGCCATATATATATATATATATATATATATATATATATATTATATATATTTTATCTAACTTTTTACTGTATTAAAACATAAAATAAGTCAATCCTCCACTGATTTTTGAACAGCAGAGCTAGAGCTAAGCAGACAAGTAACATATCCATCATGTCATCATTTTACTGCTTGAGCAGCCTGGTAAAA